AGGCTTTAGTTGTTACATGCATCCAATAATCCTCTTCTCCAAAATGGATTTTAGTCAGAACAATTTATTTGGATACATAGAAGACCTGCAGGAACTAACTATTATAGAGAGGCCAGTACGCAGGAGCCTGAAGGTATATATTTCAAAATAGAACGATGCTTTAAAATCCATTTGAAATTGTGTCTGTTTTATTTATGCACAGCTAACGGAATAGGCAGTTTATTTTTACAGCACCAGGGTACTAAAAAATTGTTTTCGGTCATTTTGGAATAAACAATCTCGAATTATATATAGCAGGGACTTAATATTTTCAGTATAAGAGTATTAAACTGGGAAAAAAATGACTAATTTAGGTCTTTAGTTTAATTTATATATGACTTTACGTGATTAATAGTGATAGTGCCTGACATGGAACTGTGCTTCTATTACATCCCATCTTTTGCTCGTGAAAGATTTATTTGATTGAATTTGAAACGTTGGCTAAAAATTTCAAGGAGTAAATTCAAATTACTCATGGAACTGTCCCTGGATGTGTGGGGAGGAATGGGTTGTTTTAAGAAGATTAAAATGGTGAAATAGTTAAGGCATTGTAAACTCATAATCTCTATTTCACGCTTGACAGACACCAGAAGAAATAGAAAGATTGACAGTTGATGAAGAACTCAGTGATATTGAAAGGGCTGTTTATCTACTCAGGTATTTCCTGAAATATTACTGTGAAACATTGCTGACCATCATGCTTACATACAGCTTTTTTTCTAGTGCTTTACTCTTCACTCCTTTTATTTTCTGTCTTTCAGTAGTAGTTTTTTTTACTTTCTGCTGAATTAAACATATAGGCAAGATAAAAATAAGTACTGTAATTTCTTTTTTAAATGCATAGGATGCCTGTGTACATCTGTAAACATTTCTGAGTTTCTAATATGGCCCTCACCAACACTGAGTTGTACTTCATCTTCTTTTCCCCTGCAGTTGATTTTGCAAAATTCCCTGGGTGTTAAGATTAATAACACCAATCATTCAGTGACTTCATATTCACTCTAAGGCATGAGCAGTTACCACAGACTGATAACAGAGCTGTTTGAGCATACTGTATACGTTTGGGCTTTCAGAAGAGAAAACTTGAGATTAGTTTTATGGTCCTTAGGAAATACTGAAGGAGATATTAATACTTCCTTGTGTTCTGGTTTTTCATTTTACCTGCTTCTTCTTGTTCTTTAAAGTATTTATTTGCAGCTACTTGAATAACTTAAATTTTGATAGTTTGCAATGCAGATCTTTCAACTACTGTGTAAGTCATCTTTGAGAATACCAGTTTTCTGAGGGATTTTGATTTGAGTATGCATTTTTAAACAATACCTAATAATTGGAGAACCAGCTGTGGCTCCCTCTCAGTTTGCTTATTCTGCTCTTTCAAGGACTCTTCTAGTCTATGCATGTCCTCAATGATTAGAGTAGATATTCTCAGTGCCTTAATTTTATCTTTTTGGGGCGCATGGCATTATTTTTGGGTAAGCATTTTTGCCCACTGATACTATTTTTGATACTGAGTTTTGTTTTATGTTTTTTTAATGCTGAACTTTATTAAATAGTGGATTTTAAGACTTGCTTTACTAATAGTTCCTGTACCCAAAGCAGTCTGTTGACTCTAGGGAAATTCAGGGGAAACAATTTGCATGTGGTGCATACCATTGCAAAGGATTCATATCAATTTTGGTTTTACCTCACAGCAATCAGCATAGTGTGGCAGCAAATATCTTTGCTCTTTTTCCAATTAAAGATCAGGTTTCCAGCAATATGTCTTTACTGGATCATTGCTTTGTTAAAGGGTAAAATGTTCCACTTCATATATTTCATCTTACTAATTGCTTTTCAACCCGGCCTTGAACTTCTCCTGATGTCTTCATCTGCTTTCTCTCAACTTGAGCAGCTGTTCTGGGGCCATAATACTCTTTTCCTTGTGATGAAATTTTCATTTTTGCCTCTGCATTGCCCTCATTGCTGAAAGGTAGCTTCATCTTTGCTTGGTAAGCTTCTTGTAAGGCAATCGCTTGCTGTGATTGTCCAGGTATGTTAATACAATAATCCAGTGGAAGCTTTTGTTGTTCAATAGTATATTGCCTTCCCTGTACTGAGTGGAGTACAAGCAAAGAGAGTTGAAAAGCTGCCTGTAACACAGGTAGTATCCTTTATGTAATGTACAAAGGTAGATATTTTTGGCTTGTCTGGTGTTTTTTAATCTATTACAATACAATACCCTGTCTGTTCCTGTTTGACAATAATGTCAGTCTGGTCCTTTTGTGCCTCATTTTCTCACATAGATGCATTATTTGCAGTCCTTCAGGTTGGCCCTTATATGGCACCATCCTTGATGTTAGCCAAAAAGACACTGCCTTTTCTGAAAATCCCACTGTAAAAGTTGCTTTGGTGAGATTGAAATGAGTTGTTAATGATGTCTGTGTTGGACTCTGTTTGGAAAGGATGATGCTATCTCCATATACATTAAAAAAAATATATGTGCAAGAACAATAATAGAAAGCAAATCTCTTACCTCAAATATCTACAAATAGTATCAAAGTGCTTAATGTTGTGTCATATTGTCTTTTTTATTGTCACTTATTTATGTAAACCTAATCTGCAAGTTGGAGATTTTTAATTTACTGAGGAGAATATCTTTAGTGTTGCTTGTCCAGTACAATGGAGCTGACTAATACTGAGTGAAAGCTTTGTACGATACAGCAAAGCTAATGTTTAATAATTATTTTCTGTGAAAGTCCAGAAAGAGTCCTCATGTTTTAATGGCTTTCATTCTGAACAAAGAAGCCCAACTATTTTCTTCTCATTTCGCATCCTCCTTGTGCTCCAAAACCTGCCCCCAACTTCTCCTTTCCACCCTTGAACTTGGATACTCTGGTCTGCTTACATGCAAAGTTGTATGTTTACTAGATACTTGCTTTTTCTAGATTTCTGCTTTTGAGGTCTTTCACTATTGTAGTCGGAAAACAGGTACATTGACATCCTAGTTGGAGACAACAGTACACCCTTTTACTGTCTGAGGTTTTTGGTGTCTGAATAGTGGGCTTTGTTTTTTGTTTTGTTTTTTTTCTCCTGTGATTGATTCTTGCTATATTGTGTGTGTGAGGAGGTATTAATTTCTCAACTGTTTCATCTGTTCATGCTACTTTTTTCACCTCTTGCATTACTTCTCATTTGCCAGTAATACTATGGAGTTTCTGGCATGCTCTTTTACTTCTTGATATTGTAAAGTTATTTGTTTTGCTCATCTAGTATGTCTTTGTATCTATCTAATGACCATTTTGTGTTTCCACAATGTCTTGTCTGTCTGTATGTAGCCATGATGTATTGTCATAGATTTTGTGAATTTCTGTTCACTGTCTTCTCTTAAGAATGATATATGTCTACAAATGTTCTTAGCACATGGTGAGTACATTGACACATTAATCCTGTTTGAGACCTCACTTTCATAGGGATGTGGCTCATTTTAATTTGTTTTCTGATGTTACCTGTCGTAGTTTAGTTTTACATTCTAAAGTGCTAATTGTGATTTTGGTAATCCTAACAAGTTTCTCTCTCTCTCTCTCTCTCTCTCTGTATTTTTAATTATTATTTTTTTAGGGCATGACTTTGCTTTCAGTCTCCCCTTTTCTGCCAGTACTGTTCTTCAGATAACTATGTAATGAGGTAGATTGACAGGATGATCTAGCTAAAGCTGATTGTTCTTAGTCAGATTGGTTTTCAGCTAAATCAACTCCTTGATTTGGCTCATCGTGTGGATATAGAAACGGTTGTGCAAGCAAAAGGAGAGGACTCAGTAGTTCTCCTGGTGGCCAGAGTCACTTTAGTATGACATAAGCATGGGTGAACTTCAGCTTTAGATCTGTGTTACCCAGAGTACTCAGTTTTAATTAGGTAACATTCTGCAATTAGACTGAGTAAGTGCTGATTTAAGAAGAATGCGGTAGCAAATTAGACTGTCATTTGCTGTAATCTCAATTAACCTTGATTCTGGTTGAGGAACTGGGCTTCCTTAGACTGGGTTGTTGGAGATGTTTATGAACTTCCCATTGAAATCAAATGGATTTAGGTACCTAAAGAGGGAGAGGCATCTGAGTGTCTAGGATCTATGTTTTAGAGATTCAGCCTGAGTGCTTGGTGGTTTCTGGCGGGTCTAACTGGAATTGATGAAGAGTTGTATTCTGACACTGTTTTGCATGTTATTGGTCAGAAGAACAAGGAGAGCAAAATAGCTATGTGCACCTCAACCGTCTTGTCAAGGCTTATCATAAAACCATCAGCAGATTAAGATGAGCTGCCAGGCTTTGCACTGAAGCGACTGAATAGTTTGCATTCCACTTCAGGGCATCGTGACCTCCACCAGGACAGTGGCAATAAGCAGCTCAGGGACTAAAATTTTTATTCCTGCTATGAACTTTTACCTGTAGGCTTAGTTTCCATGCTTGCTGTTGTTTGATGTTATTACTTATTTTTATTTGTCTTACTGTAGCTCACCCTTTTATGGCCTATAGCCAATAGCAAAATATATATTCTTTGCCCGATGTGAATATGGTTTGGATACAAGGATGCTTACTGGCATGCACACTATAGAGTGGTTTGTTTTCTGAGGACTTTTCTGATAGATTTCCCTAGGGGTTTTACATTGGTTTGTGTACTGTATTATTTTATATTCAGCTACTTTTTGTTAATTTGTGCCTGCTTAGTGTTAAAGCTTCCAGGCCTTGACATTTCCGTCGTACTCAAAATAACAGGGTAGTAATGAGTTATCAAGGTGGAAGGTTGAATTATTCACCCTTTTGGGAACATACTGTATTTTGGTTTTGGAGTGATCCTATCTCTCAGTTTAGAAAACAACACAATCCCCTTCAAAATATTTAGCACCGTTTTTGAAGACGCAATAGATACTTTATGTAGATTGGAAAGAATTCAATGCCTATAAACTTAGCATGTCTTTAAAAAAAGTTGTACTTTAGCTAATCAAAGATGGCTACAATAGAGTATTCTCAAATTCTAAACATCTTTTTATACAATGTATCTTGTTAATTGTGAGTGTCAAAACCATTACTATTTGAAAGATTTTCTTTTTTTTCCTTCTAATTTTTAGTCTTCATCATGTTAGTTTTGGAGATTTTTCTTTTCTGTAGGTGCAAGCAGCTCACCTTTTGAATTTAAATGAAAACCTTCATTTAAATGTAATGTAGGAGCTGATTTTCTAATATAAACATTGTGTCAATTTTTTTGTGTTACAAAATCATGAGAACTGGCTCCTCTGTTCTGATTATACAGCTTCTGAATTTATGGTCCTGATGCATATGCAGTATACTGAAAGAGCCAGCTGTCATGCTAATCATATTGGAAAATAATTCTTCCAACTATACTGACAAGCTGTAAATACTAAGATTCTTCAGTTTTTTTCCTTGTCTTTTATTTTGTGAATTACAACTTAAATTTTATTAAAGTTTTGTTCGTGATTCACTTGGATGGATAAATTAGTTGCTTGAGCTTGACTTTGTTATGCAAATAATGTATATGAAATTGATTCTTTCACTTTAAAGTTATACCTGTAGTCTTCTGAAATGATGCTATGTCACATACTTTTATTAAAATTTTGATTTGTGCAAGTACTTCTTTGCTGAGTTGAAACTACAACTGAAGAACCA